CTATTGTGCTAATGGGACAGCTAATAATAAACTGAGCATCTGTCCCCAGTTTTGTACAGAACTAAATGACCAAGGAATGTTACTCATGTAAATTTGTGATTATTACCTCCCTTGCACAGGTTCAATATATAACAAGAAACATGGCAATGCCATGAAACCAGGTTTTCAATTATCACCATTGTAGATAAATATGTTGTATTTGAAATACAAATACAAGCAACAAACAATGTAACTATGTGCAATGTAAAACATGAATAATGTAGGAGGAGAGGAATTGCCACAGAGGAAGTGTTCACTATAATTATATTCTGTATAAGGAAAAAAAACAAAGGACCATAATTAAATAAAAAATTATTCAATCACAAAACCCCGACAATATGCGCCAGGGCACTGGATGACAAAGCTACTGTGAAAGTTTGAACAAAATCCGTTGAGAAATGTAGGAGTTCAGCACAGAAATTTTTTTTCACTATATATTCTGTATAAGGAAAAAAAACAAAGGGCCATAATTAGGTCAAATATTATCCAATCACAAAACCCCAACAATGTGTGCCAGGGCATTTGATAACAAAGCTTCTGTGAAAGTTTGGTCAAAATCTGTTGAGAATTGTAGGAGAAGTTGCGCATGGTAAAAATTGTTCACTATATAATCTGTATAATGAAAAAAAACAAAGGGCCATAATTAGGTCAAATATTATCCAATCACAAAACCCCGATAATGTGTGCCAGGGCATTTGATAACAAAGTTCTGTGAAAGTTTGGTCAAAATCTGTTGAGAAATGTAGGAGAAGTTGTGCATGGTAAAAATTGTTCACTATATAATCTGTATAAGGTAAAAAAACAAAGGGCCATAATTAGGTCAAATATTATACAATCACAAAACCCTGACAATATGCCCTAAGGCACTTGATAACAAAGCCTCTGTGAAAGTTTGGTCAAATTCCGTTGAGAAATGTAGGAGGAGTTGCGCACAGAAAATTGTTCACTATATATCTATATTTGGAAAAAAAACAAAGGGCCATAATTAGGTCAAATATTATCCAATCACAAAACCCTGACAATATGCGCAAGGGCACTTGATGGCAAAGCCTCTGTGAAAGTTTGGTCAAAATCCATTGAGAAATGTAAGAACAGTTGGGAACAGAAGAAATTATTCACTATATATTCTATATAAGGAAAAAAACAAAGGGCCATAATTAGGTCAAATATTATCCAATCACAAAACCCCGACAATATGCGCCAGGTCACTTGATGACAAAGCTTCTGTGAATGTTTGGTCAAAATCCAATGAAAAATGTAGGAGGAGTTGCGCACAGAAGAAATTGTTTACGCCCGCCCGCCCGCCCGCCACCGACATACCTCAATCTAATAACCAGTTTTTTCCTTCGGAAAACCTGGTTAAAAACTGAAAGATTTTGAAATTTATTTTATATTGCTATTAATTTATATGATCATTGATGAACAGATTAGTCTTTAAAATCTTTACAATCTTTACTTTATGTATGCATGAATCTGCTTTAGTAAACATCTTTTATTTAGGATAAGTTTATCGGTCAATAACCTACATATTATATATATTGTTTGTTAAAAACATTCGCACCTCTGAAAGATAATGGCTTTAACGCCTACTTATTAAAGGCGTAGCGGTTGAAAATTTTTAAAAACAATAACAACTTGTAATTTTGCATTGTAAAAACAAATCGGTTTCAAAATACATGTAGTTGTGAAACGCATTTGACTGGCTTTTAGTCCTCACCCATGAAAATGAAAGTACAAAGTTTAGGATCTTTTTGCAGGTAGTCAATATTTATAACCATATGTACCTTTCTGATATTTTTTATTTTGTTTTGGTTTTTTGAAATTGGGACTTAATGTAATTTGTTATAACAATGTTTACTATAAAGGTATTTTTCATAATGAATAAAGATTAGGGTCAAAATATCCAGGCCAAAAGTATTTGTTCCCAAGTATAACAGAATTTCCCTGTAACTGTGAACTCGCTGCAAGTTAAGTTCACTGTATTGCCAGTTTAGCTTAACACACTTCTAGCATGTGTAATATATAGAAATTATACATACTGGTTATATAACAGTGAGAATTTGAATAAAATAATTAAGGAAATGGTTGAGACATTATAATCTGTAAATAAATCAGTGTTAAGATTTTCTCATTAAGTTATCATAAGATCTTTAAGAATCAAAAAGGCCTCAATTGTGTCTTTTCATGCTTTGATCTTTTATTTCAGCATTTCCGACCAATAAATTCAGCATTCCTACCAATAAATTCAGCCTTTCCCACCAATTGATTCAACATTCCCCACTGATAAATTCAAAATTTCCCACCAATAAATTTGGCATTTCCACCAATAAATACAGCATTCCAAACAAAAAATTCAACATTATATTCCTACCAATAAATTCAGCACTTTCCACCAATAAATTAAGCATTCCCACTAATAAATTCAGCATTTCCAACCAATAAATTCAGCATTCCCACCAATAAATTTAGCTTTTAACACCAATAAATACAGCATTCTCATCAATAAATTCAGACTCCAACCAATAAATTCAGCATACGTACCCACCAATAAATTGAGCATTCCCACCAATAAATTCAGCATTTTCCATTGATAAATTCAGCATTTCCCACAAATAAATTTAGCATTTCCACTAATAAATTCAGCATTTCCAACCAATAAATACGGCATTCTCACAAAAAAAATCAGCATTTTCCACCAATAAATTCAGCATTTTTGCTAATAAATTCAGACTCTAACCAATAAATTCAGCATTTCCCACAAACAAATTTAGCATTTCCAATAATAAATTCAGCATTTTCAACCAATAAAATCAGCATTTTCCACCAATAAATTCAGACATCAACCAATAAATTCAACATTCCCACAAATAAATTCAGCATTTCCCACCAATAAAATCAATATTTCCGATTAATATATTCAGCATTCCAACTGATAAATTCAGCATTTCCCACTAATAAATTCAGCATTTTCCACAAATCAATTCAGCAGTCCCACAAATAAATTCAGACTCCAACCAATAAATTCTGCATTCACACCAATAAATACAGCATTCCCACCAATAAATTCAGCATTCACACCAATAAATACAGCATTCCCACCAATAAATTCAACATTTCCGATTAATATATTCAGCATTCCCACGGATAAATTCAGCATTAATTATCCACCAATAAATTCAGCATTTTCCACAAATCAATTCAGGATTACCACCAATAAATTCAGACTTCAACCAATAAATACAGCATTTCCCACCAAAAAATTCAGCTTTTCCCACCAATAAATTCAGTCTTTTCTTAAATTACAATGTGCTTCTAGAGATGTTTTCATGTTTTGAATTCTAAATGCAATGTCACATTCAATTAAATTGACCTGTAAAGCTATTTATTTTTTAATATGAAAACTTGTTAACATTTTGTTGATTGTATTGTATATTAATTGCAAGTACAAAGTAACCTTTATCTAAATTTTGAAACTTTAACAATAAAGCATGTTCTGGCTATAATCAAAATGGTTATAGTAAAATGACAATGGAACATCAAAAATTGACATGTTTACAAATACTACTCAAACACTTAAACAGATCAAAAAATATCCCACATACTATAAATACCATAAATTCACCTGTCCCTCAAACAGTTTATGGGCAGATAAGTACAATCCATTTACTTGAAAAACAGATCAGTAACAATCTGTATTATTATAATTAATCCATTGAAATAGGAAAGTGTGACTATAAATTAAATCCCAATCATTGACCCTAATTTGACCAGTCCCAAAGTCACTGACCAGTCATCAAAATAAAATGAATTGAAATTATAATATAGGTGAGAGGCCTGTCTTACTTCTTTGATCTAGATCTAACATCGTCAGGAGTGGTCACATCATTAATGATTGCCAACTAAACAACCAATTGAACCACAAGTAACATGTTTATCTTCATGATAATCATCACAGTCGTCATCAGTGTTTCTCCTTCTTTTCTTTTGCTACATAAACATCATCATTATAAACAAAAACAACATCATCATCATTATCATATTAATCACTACATAATAACACCACCAACAACAACATCATTTTTAGTCCTTGTAATCATCATTATAACCAATATAATCATAATAATCATCATCAACATCATCCACATTAAAATCATCATCACCACCATCATCATCATCATGGCTATCAATATCCTTATCATTTTTATAGTTTTTGTCAATATTATGATGATCATCATCACCATCACCATAATCTTCAACTTTTATTTTAATAATCACCATCAACATTAACATCATTATTATCAGCATTGTCAAAATGATGATGATAGATGTTGATGATGATGACCATCATCATCATAATAGCCATCACCTTCATCATTAGCATCATCATCATTATCCTCATCATCATCACATTCCTCATCTTCATTATTATCATCATTATTATAATCATCATCATCATAGTCCTCATCCTAATCATTATCATCATTATCATCATAGTCATCATTATCATCATAGTCATCATCATTATCAATGGCAGAAGTAACAGTTCATCTTAAATCTTTGATTCATGGTCACATCATGTTGATGAGAATTTTATCAAAGCATAAATGAGCCGTGTCATGACAAAACCAACATAGTGCGTTTGCGACCAGCATGGATCCAGACCTGCCTGCCCATCCGCGCAGTCTGATCAGGATCCATGCTGTTCGCTTACAAACTCAATTACAAGTAAAGAAACTGATAGCGCACAGCATGGATCCTGATCAGACTGTGCGGATGTGCAGGCTGGTCTGGATCCATGCTGGTCGCAAACGCACTATGTTGGTTTTGTCATGACATGGCTCAAATATCAGAGGTCAATTTATCCGCAATATGATAATCAAACATCTGCTGTTTACATTAAACAAACATTTTTTCAAAACAATTCAGCAATTTAAACTCTATATAAACAGAAAAAAAATCTAACAGCGAACACATAACACTGTATTTGGAAACGTTGAACATAAAGTTATGGTTTAATTCTTGCACACCACCCTAAAATTTTTCACTCGGTTCTCTACTAGCCTGAGGTACCCTGATCAACATTTAAGATAAAAACGTCTGGATGGGAAGGTGTGTTACTGCTGATTGTAATTATCATATTGATCTACATATATAGTGTAAATAATCGAAAACTGTTTTAAAGTGTCTCAAAACTAAAACAACAAGAAACCTGAAGGTACTTTATATATTCATTTGTGGTTGAAATCATAGCCTCAATAGTCATTTAACACCTTGTTTAGTAATTTTATCTTATTTTTTTTTAATTCTTTTTTTTTTTATAATATTTGAATGAGATTTAGTACTTGAAAGTTACACTTTAGCAAAGACATATGGATATAAATCAAGTTTTCACTTAGTATTTATCAATAGTATATTTATTTTTATTTTTTTTTTCAGAATAAAAATAAACATTTTGAAGCTGAAGCATTTTGTTTCAATTCAATTCTGAAAGGAAACAGTCACTGTAAAATAATTATTAACCATTGGGAAAAATCAGAGTTTAAAACTCTGTAAACTACTGGATTAAAACACAAAAAGGTTTGTCTTTTATTGACATATTATTTTACTTTATTTATCTTATTAGAAAATATCAGGAATTTATTCAATTTTCATATTTATTAAATTACTCAACCTGCATTGGTGTCAAGTTACTGTATTTCTTCATTTCTACTTTTAAATTATTTTTATATACATATTTGTTATAAATTTTCATCAATTAATACTAATCCGAATTTTCATTTCTTTTAAATTACATCATTTTCATCTCACCATCAAAATTATTATTTTCAATTCAATATATATAAACCCTTTTGTAGACAAAGATCATATTGCTGAACTAATTCTACGACTTAACAAGAATCTTCTTTACACAAAATTGATGCTTACAATATTTCTGTATTTTTTGTACTTTCTGTACGTATAAATTATATAAAACCAACTCTTTTATGGGAGAATAAATATAAACTTTTTTTCTGTTAGCTAAAATCTACTCTTCTTAACAGTTAATAACTAATCAAACAGCTCAGATATGAAATTGTCACTGCATACTGTAACTATATTTTCAGTATTTAAAGTATCTAAAATAAATTGTTTTACTTTTATTTTTATTGTTTCAAAATATTAAATATGGTACCTAAAATTTGTTTATTTATCTTACTATAATTAACTAAATTGTTAAATATATATAGTATTATACATATATATACATGTATATCAAATATTCATTTCATTAAAATAATTTACGTATTTCGATTCTTTTCATAATTATCTAAATTTTATTCCTTTATGTTAAAATTAGTTCTTCTATAAAAATTATGCACATACATTAACAGAGGAGAAAACATGCATTAAGGGATAAAATAACTGGATCATGTGCTGTTCTTGCAGGGTTTTTTTAATATGTGTAACTAAGGGTGACATGTAAAAATAACTTGCCATGACAGCCCAAATAGTTACATTATCAAAACATTATACTGTAAGACTGCATATTGCTCTAGCATAATAAATCAGTTTCAATATATTAAGGGCCCGTCTACACCTATTCAAGTCTTGAATGCAAGTATCATATTCTCTTGTATTGCATAATGAAGACACACTACTTGGGTGGTTTTTTGAAGAGAAATTATGTCACATCCATGAAGATAATTTCTTGCAGAAAATTAGAACACGTTCTATTTTTCTACAAGTTTTTAGCTGTCCAGACACTGATATTATTTGGCCGCTTCTACACCTAGTCAAGTTTCTTACATGTCACATTTAGATAAGCTAAATAAATGGCCCTTGCATTGACATAAAATCAGGCATGATTTTACTGAAATGTCTTATTAAGATTGCCCAGGATTTATACCTTTTCTTCGCAATACTATCATGTTTCTGTAAAATATGTGAATAAAAAAGCTGGGGAAATGATGCAATTTAGCTAAAACAATGGAGTAAATGAAATGTGTACATAATTTTAAAATAAGTGTAAAATGTGATAAAAAAATATATTTTGAGCTTATAAATTGATGCAAATTCTTTATTTGATGAAAGTTATTCACTAAATGAACAAGATCATTTAAAATTCATTTTGATTCTACTTGCTCTTCTGTGTATCAGTGTATCGATTTAAGGTGGTAGGGTTTTGTCCACTCTGTAAATTTAAGGTGGTAGGGTTTTGTCCACTCTGTAAAATTTAAGGTGTGGGGTTTTGTCCACTCTGTAAATTTAAGGTGTGGGGTTTTGTCCACTCTGTAAAATTTAAGGTGTGGGGTTTTGTCCACTCTGTAAAATTTAAGGTGTGGGGTTTTGTCCACTCTGTAAATTTAAGGTGGTAGGGTTTTGTCCACTCTGTAAAATTGAAGGTGTGGGGTTTTGTCCACTCTGTAAAATTGAAGGTGTGGGGTTTTGTCCACTCTGTAAAATTTAGGTGTGGGGTTTTGTCCACTCTGTAAAATTAAGGTGTGGGGTTTTGTCCACTCTATAAAATTTTGAGGTGTGGGGTTTTGATTGGTGGGGTTTTGTCCGTCTTCCTTTAAAATTGTACCCCTTTGCTTCTGTCGATGCTACTGCATTGAAAAAGGTGCATATTAACCCTCTATTATATATCATTTTAACTTTTAACCTGATAAATGGACTTGCCAGAATCCAGTTTTTGGACAACATGCGTTCATAATCATGAAATTGTATGATATCAAGATACAAATTGTAAAAATTTAAAGTTTAGTCACACATAGGTGTATGGCTGGCCTGGTTCTATAATGATAGCTTCCTTCATAATTTGACTAAAATAAATTCTGTATATTGAAACCAATCTCTTTAGAAATGTTGGTGGTCGTGCATACTAATGAAATTGTTAATCTAATGCCAGCCAGTTCACTCACTGCATTCAATTTGAATGTAACGCTCATAAACATTGTAAATGTTCCGTCAGAGTAATAAAATTACATATAATTGTGCTACTATTTTCATTTCAGTTAACAATATAAATGATTTTTTTTTCTTCAAAATAATTCATTTCAATTTATAAAGAGTTAGGCTCCATCTACACCTATCCAAGTCTTGAATGCAAGTATCATATTCTGTGTAGACACCCTACTTGAATGGTTTTTAAAGAGAAATTATTTGACGTCCATGCAAGAAAATTAGCACATGTTCTTTTTGGCTGTCAAGACACTGATAACACTGTTTTGGCCCCGAAGGTGTTATAGTGCTGTTTTTTTCATATTATTTTCTGACTTTTTTTGTTACTGACCTGTGAATTTCAGTAAATGTTTACAATGCCTTGGTCAAAGGAAAAAATCGACAAACTTATACACAGAAGAGCAAAAAAAAAAAAGATCAATTTTTCAAAAGTATAATAATAATAGGGATTTTAAATGATCTTCTTCATTTAGTGAAATTTACTTTCATCAAATAAAGAATTTGCATCAATTTATAAGCTCAAAATATTTTTTTCTCACATTTTTCAATTATTTTAAAAGAATATACACATTTTAATTAGTCTATTGTTTTAGCTTATTGCATTATTTCCTGCTTTTTCATTCACACATTTAACAGAAACATGATAGTATTGTAAAGACCAAGGTGTAAATCCTGGGCAATCTTAATAAGACATTTCAGTAAAAATTGTGCCTGATTATAATATGTTGAACGGGCCATTTATTTAGCTAAATATTTAAATGTGACATGTAAGAAACTTGACTAGACCCAGACGCTGCCTGAGAAAAAGCAAAATTACTGATTCAGACATCCATGTACATTCCTATGCAAAAAAATAGCACTAATGCACCTTTTTTTCTATCATGCCATAACATCTTTAAAAGTCCTCAGACTTATTAATTCCCTCGCTCTGCTGGCTTGGGCTTTAAATGCACCCCGTCCTTCAGCCGATGCTACTGCATTGAAAAAGGTGCATAATTATTTACCCTCTTTTATATACCATTTTAACTTTTAGCCTGATAAATGGACTAATGCCAGCATCCAGCGTCCATTATCAAATCGTATGATATCAAAATAAAATTTGAAGTTTAGTCACACACAGGTGCAGGCTGGCCTGGTTCTATAATTAAAGCTTCCTACATAATTGGACTAAAATAAATTCTGTATATTATGAAACCAATCTCTTTAGATATGATGGTGGTCGTGCATACTAATGAAATTGTTAATCTAATGCCACCTAGTTCACTCATGCTGTCATTCACCGATTTTTAAATAACCATAATTATCTGATGGAAAATGGAGAATGATTTACTGCATTCAATTTGAATGTAACACTCGTAAACATTATAAATATTCGGTCAAAGTGATGAAATTGCATATGAGCCGTGTCATGACAAAACCAACATAATGGGTTTGCGACCAGCATGGATCCAGACCAGCCTGCGCATCCATGCAGTCTGATCAGAATCCATGCTGTTTGCTAAATACCAACCCTATTACAAGTAGAGAAATTGATAGCGAACAGCATGGATCCTGATCAGACTGCGCGGATGCGCAGGCTGGTCTGGATCCATGCTGGTCACAAACCCATTATGTTGGTTTTGTTGTGACGTGGCTCATATAATTTTGCTACTATTACACTGAGTCATCTCATCATAATTATGATATCAGGTTTTACCCAAAAGCTGTATATAATTTTCATTTCAGTTAACAATATAAATGATTTTTTTTCCTTCAAATTATAAATCATATCATTTCATAAAGAATAAGTTAGCCCTTTAGTGTCATGAAATGAGGTCAAACATTTACACTATAATTATATTGTATTACAACGTGCCAATTATATGGCTATTTTCAGGCGGAAAATGATTCATTACATAAAGCATCAGATTTCAATCTAGCCAATTAGTTTTTAACAGCAAGGACATAAAATTTGTAATAAGATAAATTTTATACTGGATGAAAATTTTAAAATATCTCCACATATCAAATTATGCCCATTTGATGGTCCATTTTATGTTTTTACTTGTAAATTAAGGACTTTTGCACTATGGCAAATATTTTTAGCCGCTCCTCCAAAGAAGGGAGATAATAAAACATTGTAAACAAATATATAATAAAGCAGCTACACTATATAATTCTTGTATAAGTCGAACACGATAACGTTTACATTATTCGGTCACACTATCATGATATAATGGGTTGGGCAGGTTATTCCGTTATTATATTTTGCATTTTTATTGCAATATAGAAGAATTAAACGTTATCCCAAGCAGCATAGTAAATAGAATGTTTAGGTTATGAAGCACTCATGTGATGAACATGGTTCTGCAATCGTGCTCATTTTTTTGTCAGAATATATTTTTCATAGTTTGTCATTTAAGTTTTGATTATCTCGTTTTTGAACCTGTACGTAAATTGATGTTTCGCACAACTGAACGTTCAACTTGTAACTGTTATGGAAAATTGAATGTTTTTGATTTTTAGCATTCATTAAACGATTAAATAATGTTATTATATTTGAAATTCTATATACAATTAATCATATTTTTAACAATTTTGGCTCATTTTGTATACATCTTTATTCTTCCATTGCTATTGATTCGGTCATTTATAACTCTAATCATAGACTGTATTGACTTAAACTCAGTCTGTTGAATGCGAATCTATGCAAAGCTTTTACATAAAAATTTTTGACATCCCTATTTGTCAATATTGATGTAAACAGATTATGAAAGGAATAGTGAATTCCAGCTGAGCTGTAGAAGTAATATAAAAATCCCTTGTACTAAGAACCCTCTTTTTTTGTTTGATTTTAATGACAGCAGACACTAAAAAGGTCATATGGCAACTTTCCAACTTTAATGGTGGAGAAAAAGGTGCCCACTGTACATCATTTCAGGTACAATCTGGCACCAGAAAATGATCAGTGTATATGTTAGTGTTCAATCGTGCTGTTCTACAGAAATTAGAAACATCGATGGGAGCGATGGGAGTGATAGGATAGCGACTGGAGAATGTTTCCAATTTCTGTAGAACAGCTACGGATGAATACTAACATGCTTAGTGTCACGCTTTATTTGGCCTCATTATTATTCACTTAATTACGTCACTACGAGGTTCTATGAAGTACTATGAAAAATAGAAGGCTACCATAAACGGTATTCAACATAGTATCGACTTTTGTTCTACTATGAAAATTAACACAGAGAATTTTTAAGAAAAACAGCGTTTTCATTGGATGACAAATAAAGCTGGATTATACATAGAGAATGAAATGCCCATAGATTGTTGGTAAATTAAAATGAACATTTTAATTGGGGATGAAACAATCTTAATGACCCTGCCAAAATTATTAAATCAAATAATTCAAAAAATAAATATGCATGATGACTGTTGTATCACATATTTAAATAGTTAACCCATTGCTTCATGAGCATTTTGTGAAAAATGGCTGTTTTCATTGAAAAGTCTCCCGTTACAAGTTCAAATTGCTATAATACTATAAAAACTGCTTCAACACTAATCAAACTTGGCACAAATGTTGACTGGACCATTGTCCTTGCAACAACATGCTCAGACTTAAATTTTCTGTTACCATGGCAACGAGGGGACATCTCAAAATTGCCAAAAATCACTATTTTGCGTTGATTTTTTCCATCAAAATTGATTTCAAAGTGCTGCAACTTATCAATGGATTGAGATAGAGTCAAATGCTTTTCAGCGTTGGTTACACGTTACCTTATGATCAATCTGGGGTCATTTACAGCCTCTCACAAGTCCAAAATTTTCTTGGCGATGAGGGGGACTCCGCCCCCCTTCAAACCCCCCAAAACAGAAGGGGGCACATCCCCCTTCTGGCAACCCCCTGATGTATCTTTTGGTTGGGGGGCCGCGCCGAAAAAGAGGTCAATTTTTTTAACAACATTTCTCAAACAAAAACAAGTGTTTGGGGCCTAAATAAGGCATTTTTTCATCATTTGAGACAACAAAAAGGGGGGGGGGGGGTGAAAAAGGCGTTAAAAGGCGTGTATATGAAGTAATGGGTTAATTCAATGTACTTTTATGAAATTTTTATGAAATTTTACATTTAAAATCTAAGTGACCTTCACCTTGTGAGCTACAGACTTGTTCTCACAATTTTTTTTTATTTTCAAGTATCTCATATTTAAACCAAGTTATTTTAAAATCTATCAATTCATGGGATCTAAGATATGGACCAGTAACATCACTATCAATGCACTATCATTATTATGACCATTGACATTCAAGCGTGACCTTGACCTTTAAGCTGGTTCACTACATGTCTTTAAATAAACCTCATATCTATGCATAATTATTTTAATTTCTATCCATAAATTACAAAGTTATGTACAACACACAACAATCTATTAACAATCAGGACTGGATGCAACACATTAATGGGCAGTATTCTTCCCCTTTTTAAGAAGGGGGCATAACTAGTGTACACATTTAATGGCACTAATTAGATGACCAATTTAAAGTGATATGATCAAATTAATGGAGAGTAATTTAAGTACTAATTAAATTTTTAATTTTATATGACATTAAAGGCACTGACCTGTATGTGATTTTTCTTTCATAATAATTTACTAAATTTGATATTAATTCACAAGGCTCAAGGAATGCCCTTCTGAAAATTTGACAAGAAATCCCACTTACGATGAGGGTGGGATCCCAGTGGGATTTCAATTTGGATCCCATCTGAGGACCCACTGGGAAAATTGTTAAGGACCCCACTTGGATGTGGGTGGGATCCCTACCTTATCCTAGTGGGATCCCGACCAAATTCCCCAGTGGCATCCCACCTCATATTAATTCATGTATGGGTATACAAATATCTCAAACTAATGACAAATGAACAGTTCAAATTTTACCACAGGACAAATACATTACAGCTTATCTACTTACTAGCATCTGACAAGAAAAGCAAATATTTCAAATAATAAGAGGAATAGATAATAATTATTTGGAAATGATAAACTAAGTAGCAGCCTATTCATAATATATTGTGCCTTATCTGACTGGATGTTAAGGTTAATCTTGCTCTATATATATATATGAGCCGTGTCATGACAAAACCAACATAATGGGTTTGCGACCAGCATGGATCCAGACAAGCCTGCGCATCTGCGCAGTCTGATCAGGATCCATGCTGTTCGCTATCAGTTTCTCTACTTGTAATAGAGTTGATAAGCAAACAGCATGGATCCTGATCAGATAGCGCAAACGCACTATGTTGGTTTTGTCATGACACGGCTCATATGTAGATAGTGTCACAGGAATGTCCCTAACAGCTGCTTGCAGTGAAGGTGTGAAACCTTATTAAATTGGTAAATATTGACTGTAGGTTGGTGGTTAAAATGGTTAAAAGCCCAAAGCCACTCTTACATTATTGACAGCTTTTGTTTACCTGTCTTAAAACACATTTTAGTTCAGGTCAGAGGATGTTTTCCACTGTTAAGTTATGTTAGAGAAAATGGACAAAAAGGGGTTAACAAAGGCAAAAAATGTGCAAAAAGGGACATAACTTAGCATCAAATGATTTATGGAATATCTATCCTTTGGAAATGACATCCTATTATGGTAAAAAATATGTACATCAAGTTTTAAGTAAATAGCTATAAAAGTTTTTGAGATTAGATGTACCTTAACAAAAATGGTCAACCTGACAATGCCTGAATGCCAATGCAGCTAAACAAATTATAGCTTCACAGCTAAAAATAAGGCCTTTCTTATTTTTGATAAGACAATTTATAATCAGTAATGATCAATTATCTGTCATTTAAAACAGAAAAATAATAGATAATACAAATTCAAGGGCAGATAACTCAAAATTGAGATCAGTGTCCCTCATTTTTGTGTGTATTTGTTTTAATTATTATTTTTAAATAATATTTTAAGATTACAAAAGTTTAAATTTTATGATTCAATTAAGTTTTCCCTTAACATCTACTCTAGTATTATACTTTACACCAGTAAACAATGCCTTTTTTGAATTACAAAAATAACCAAGGAATATTGAATGATAACAAAGAGTTATATGTCTTGAATTGTGAGTGAAATCAATCTTGGTGTGCTAAAACAATACAAATAATGCTGTTTTTAAATTGCAATTTACTGTCCGATTTTCAACATTATTTACAGTCAAATGAAAAGCTTGTGATCTTAGCCTTATATAAGTACAAACTTCAACACATCTTCCGACACCAAACTTAAGGTACTTTAATTAACTGTTTAAACTTCTGTCAGAGATATGCAGCTGGTTATCTTCTCAAACCACAACTGATAAGAATAGCCTGTCATTTGCTCCTTTCTGACCCTTTCTATCAATGCATCATGCCTTTGGGATTTGACTGCACAATGATGTTTAGATTCAATATTGCGTAACAGATTTGTAACTCTTCTTTAATCCGTGTTTACTTTATTGCAATCTATTACTCAATTGTTATCTAACTGTTACTGTAATCTATAGTGGGGACCCTTTATCAGAAATTCATTTGTTGTGCCTTTATCTATAGTGGAGACCCTTTAGAAGAAATATATTTGTTGCCCATCGATAAAATTACTGCAAAGAAGGATTTGTATTTTTTCTTAGGTATATATATTTTAATATTCATTCCAAATTTTTTGTTGTTTTTTTGCTGTTTTAAAAAATTCCTAAAAGAGTAGCATGGTACAAAGTTTGAAAATACTGTTTTTCTTTCTCATTTTTTTTGCTAAAAACTAATACAAGTTAAAAACATTTAAGATATAGTTGTATTGTATTTGTGTTCCTTGTGGCATATTTTTAAAGCAGCATGCCTCCACATTCATGATTATTTGATGGAAATTTTTTGAATATTTTAAAAAGTAAAAATATTGTCAATTCAGAACAAAAAAAAAAGTACTTTAAACACTCCCAACAGCAAAAACAATCTATGAAAATTATCAAAATGATGACAGACTATTCAAAAAATGCTTTTATTGCATTAGGCATGCAATAGAATAAGGTGATAAATATTGCAAAATCATTAAATCGTTAATTTCATATAATATGTAATTTCTTCTTGAATTGTGAATATTTCTACTTTTCTTATAATACAAGTACATTTCTTCAAAGGTTGATTTTCTTGAAATATTTTGGCTCATCAGTGCTTTATTTTTATGATCCTTTCAGAATATTGATTCAAATGCTTTTTTATGTTTCAATAGACTGTACGCTTGTTGAAGTGGGGGTGTAAGTTGTTGCATTTTTCACTTCATCCCATGTGAAGACTCAATAAAACCAAGAATCCTTAATTGATCTACTTCAAATGTAACTTACTTTACATTATAGTCATTCAAAAATTGCATTTTTCTTTCTTTTTGCTGAACTTGTAAGTATTTAATGTAATTATTATATTATAGATACATACAATAATGGATCTTGATGCAAACAAAACTGGTTAAGTTAATGTTAATTCATTTATTTTTCTCATATTCTTTCAGGTGTAATAAGCAATGGAAAGACTGCTCCTCTCCTTAATTTTCCTTGGAACTGGAACCAGTCTTGTACTTTGTACCCTAGACTGTGACGCTTCCTGTGTGTCGTCAAACCAGTTTGAACTTGATGTTAGAGTAGATGGTAGCAATATAGAACTCAGTTGGACTTTCAACCAATCAAAACCTATCTATGGATTTCAAATGATAATCTATGATGATGACGACTATATCACCTATGAGTCACCAATTCTACACTTTTCTGAACGTTCAATGTCCCTGGAACACGAGCTTGAAGGACGGTCTAAAATCTGTCTTGCTATTTATGAAAATAATACCAAGATTCTTGACAAAAAATGCGATAAAATTGTGATAAAAGACCTTAAAATTATCATCGGAATTCTAGCAGGCACAATCTTTCTAATCCCCTGTATTGCTGCCCTAACCTACGTGATCTACAAGGACTACAAAGTCAGGTTAATTGAACAGTTCGAGGAGATTGACCCGCTTATAGAAACCAAAAGAAAAAAGATTCAGGTTATTGTAGCTATTGAAGAAGAAAAGAAAGTTGATAAGACCGATAAAAAGAAGAGTGTAAATAGTGACACTGTTGTGGAAAACAAGGCATACGTTCACGATGAACCTGAAGAACAACCTGCCAAAGCTGATGATCCAAAAGTTCTAGAAGCTTCAGTAGAACCAGATGAGCTAAATACAACAACTAGTACTATTGAATGTGGTGATCCAATAAATGAAACTGAAACACCAGATAAAAGTAATGCAGAAGACGATACAAAAGACGATATTAAAGATTGTATATGTAATGACAATATAGATAATGTGGGCAATGCAACAATTACTGATCATCCAGAAGAAAGTGAAACAGTTAGAGATGAACTTAAAACGGACTCTGTTTGTGTAACTGAGGAAGATGTCTCTGGAACAAATTTATAATCAATATTTCTTTACAATTAATCGGCAAAAGTGATTTTCTTTAAACAATGTGGGGTTTGTTTGTTGTTTGTCTTTTTAATGGACACCTCTTAATGGATACTGCTTGACATAGGAACAAATCTATAATCAACATTTTTTATAAATAGCCAGCTAAAAGTTAGATAAAGTGGGGTCATTTTTTTGTATTATCTAAATGGATACTGTGTGACTTACAAAGATTTAATCAATACATTTCACAATTTAAGCCCGCTAAAAGTTGTTTCCTTTAAAATATATAAAGCTCTATATCTGCTGTCTGCAGTTTACAAAATTTTTGTTTGAATTTGGAAAAAGAGTAATTACATAATGCCTGTATAAAGGAAATATGAATTGATGGTATATTTCCTTTTGAGTGAATGGTGTGAATGCAAAAACTTGCAAATGGTTGAAAACTTACTTATAAAAGCACCACAATATTTTGTTCAGGTTCATAGTTACATACTTTTTAAATGTGCTTAACATTCTATATATGAACTCTTTCTAAAAAGGACCATTAATTATGGAAACAATATATATTAATTGTTTTTGATTTTCATAAAAAATGTTCACTACTGTTAAGCTTTATACCTTTTATATTGTGTGTTCTAGGCTTTGTTTGTTGTTTAGTTTTTTTTCCTTCTCTGTTTAAACTGATTTCATCAGATACAAAATCATGGAGGGCAAATACAAAAGATGTTAAATTTTGCATGAACTTTTTATGCAGTATCGCTAACTATTTAAATAATCATATCTCTACCATCATAACTGACTATTTTTATCATTATATAGTAATGATTTTAGCCCTTTTACTGTAAGGGTTAATTCGGATTAAATTGACTGATTTATCATTATATGTAATTTTTGTGGATATCTGTGCTTTACGCTTTGTTAAATCCCTGTATCATTTATACACTTGATATTTTTACAGAAGTTTATAATATTATGTATAGGGACAATTATCAAATTTTCAAAAAGAAAATCATGAAATTGACTGCATGTTAGCTTTACGATAATTATATAATCCAAATGCTTTGTACATTGTAGTAGTCATAACTGTTTTTTGTTTAGTAAATAGAATATACTGAATGAGTTTAGATTCAATATCGAATTTTAATGATTGACCGACTTGAATAAAATTCAAATATACAAGCCTAAGGCAAGTTTTATATTATTTTATGTAACAAGTTCAATAATTTTAGTAACAAAGCTATATGAATATAATATTCTACTTATCACTGTTTACAAAAAAAAACCCACCCTTTCATGGATTTGCCAATACTAAATTAACCCTATAACATTTAGGGCTTCTTTACAACATGTTCATATTTGTTTGTATGTTTTTGGGTTTTACCTCACATCGACACAGTTTATGTCATATCGGGACGTTCCAGCTTTACTAGTGGAGGAAGACCTCAGGTGCCCTTCAGTGCATTATTTCAGACACAAACGGGCACCTGAGTAGAACCAACGACGTTCCCATGTTTATATAGTGTAACGCAAATATATACATATATATATATGTGCAAGACTGTGCAATACCATTTTTATGGAGTCACAAAAGCGTATGTGATAAAAAGATATTCTGTCTATCAAGCCCCAGTATGCACCTGGTACAAGTAAATATTTTTCCATTTCACGACTCAGAAGATGTCACTTTATAGCCTCTTATCAACACACTGATCCTTTCTTATACAAATCAGGAGCTTTATATATGTAGATATATCAAAAATTCATTGCTCAATAATTGCCAAACAATTTCAGTACATATGCTTTGTATCTATATTTAAAGATAAATAAAATTAGAGAAAAACTTACTTAGTATGTACTTATCATTTTATTCAAATATGAACTTTCTTTTATAAATATAATAATCTAATTGTTTTGAGATGATAATAATTATTGATAAAAGCAGTTGTCATTAATCTGTGAGGCTCTACCTTTAGCAAACCCTATGTTAAAGTAAAATGGGGAAAATTGACAATCTCTATTTAAGTCAAGAGGGGAAAATTGACCAACCGCATATAAAAAGTCAAGAAGGGGGAAATTGACAATCCTTAATAAAAGTCAAGAAAGGGGAAAATTGACATTCCCTATATAAAAGTTAAGAAAAGGGGAGAAATTGACAATCTCTTAATAAAAGTAAAAAAGAAGGGAGAAATTGACAACCCCTTTATAAAAGTTAAAAGAGGGGAAATTGACAAACCCTTTATTAAAGTTGAAAGGAGAAAATTTGAATCTTTATGTAAATATCTTAAAGTAAAAGTGCAGAAGGGGGTGTTAAAATTTGACGAGAGATTTGATTAATTGTGCTGATATTTTGAATTTGTGGTGCGGAAAATAAATAATGTACTTATCGCCGATATTCACCGAATTTTTATCAATCATCTCATCATATGTTTTTGATGATTAAGCAAAACATAAAAGTAAAACATCTACTGAATAAACAAGTTATTGTGATGTTGAGATAGTCAATAAGTTTTTGTCCTAACTAAATTAGAAATACAATTTTTGATTGTTTTGTGGGCAGCAAAACATAAACTATTTCAAATCAAATTTTGTTGATAAAGATGACCTGTTAACACCAATAACTGTTGTTATGTAATGCAATTTAAAATTATCACAACAAATTAAGCCTTGAGATTTTTTGTTTAAATTTTCTTAATGCAATTTAAAATTATCAAAACAAATTAAGTTTTGAGATTTTTTTTAAATTACACTATCACTATTCAAATACAATGTTTTGTTAGGTAACAAATTTCTAGATTTTAATTTCACCATATTTTAAATCCGAATAAATTTCAATTTTTCTTATGTAAAATATAGCTTTTAAAATCTTTTATTGTAGAATATAACTTTTGAAATTGACTTTTTATTATCTTGTTATTACAACTTATCTACTTGGGGGGGGGGGGGGGATTTGGGGTGTTGGGGCAATGTCCTTAGTCCTTAGCACTTGGTTATTTTCTATAATCTATAGAATTCAAGATTATTCCCCATTTTTTTGCAGTATAAACTTTTGTTATTTGAATGATAATAGTCGCTCAGTCAACATGTAAATGTTTGCTCTTACTATTTGTTTAAAAACCTTTACCCATAGGCAAAAATGGTAATTAAGAATGTTGAGGTCAAACCCATCGTTGGTTACCCAAAGTATATATTCTGTATATACTACATTTATCTTCATAATGTAGTATGTACAGAACATATAACAAGAGTATCAAAATGGATGATAGAATATATGAGCCACGTCATGACAAAACCAACATAATGGCTTTACTGTTCGCTATCAGTTTCTCTACTTGCTATAGGGTTTGTAAGCTAACAGCATGGATTCTGATCAGACTGCACAAATGCGCAGGCTGGTCTGGATACATGCTGGTTGCAAACCCATTATGTTGGTTTTGTCATGACACGGCTCATATACTGTGGGTAGAAAATAAAGTATGAACGAAATATACACAATGGCTAAGATACCATGGGTCAGAGCAGATATAAAGCTTGTAATTAAGTAGGGGATAAACACCGAATTGCATTAAAGTGACTTCACTGAGGTTTTTTGACATGCCGGGACTGGAAATAATATTTTCAGATTGTTACTCTATTTTATGTGAATCTATACTTATAACTTATTGGCAAAAATTCATGTCATTAGCTGGCTCTTTTTTTCCAGAATAATTATTATAATAGTGAAAAATGACACAAAATTTCACTCAAATCGGACGAAACTTGCACAAACATACAATTTTCAATGTATTTCTTGTATATTTCTTAGTTATATCATATTGATATTTGTGTTGTAATTGCTTGTGTTGATCTATGTTAAAAATTAAAGTTTTTATAGTTTTAGCCTTATAAACCTCAGTGGAGTTCCCATAACTTCTTATAAGAATAGAGGGCCACATGTATTTAAGTAAAAAGGATTATATTACAAAATAAGGTTAAATTATCTTCCTTATTTGAGTTAAACCCTCGAGTTCTACAAACTTATTTAACTCCCCTCAGCTGATACTTGGGGAAAAATTTTAATCAGGGATCATCATTATGAGTTGTCTCCCCTGAAAATACACTTTTCAAGTCTGATTTGCAAATACCTCAATTATGATTGGAATTTGTCCTCAAAAGTTCCTGTAGCAACTATGGTAAGTATTCAAATGTTAGCTTGGAAAGACAGAAGGATGGACAAACAGACAGACAACAACAAATCTTTATCCCCTTGTCTTTGACAGGGATTTAAGACCATTCATACAAATTTAGAATAAGACCTCTTCAAAAGTTTAGAATAAGATCTCTATAAAAGTTGAAATTAAGAACTTTATAAAGTGTAAATTAAGGATTCTACAAAAGTTTAGAATAAGACCATTTACAAATGTTTAAATAAGACAACTTACGAGAGTTTCAGCACTGCACTCCATCTCAAGAGATTTGATCAACATTTTGGAGAGGGCTGGATCTAGTGGGAACTCAACCATATTTCTTCCCATCGGAGTTAACGCCCCTGTATTGTCTAATGCTCCCAAGATCCATAACTGGTACATGGAGTTTAATATGTTATCCTGAAATGAATAATGATTGGTTCCAATGATGATTCAGGCCTAATTACGACTTGCCCCATTTTAGTGACAATTTGCCCCAGATAAGTAACGATTTACCCCACTTCAAAATAATTGTTAACAACAGCACTGCTTAATTATCCTTATGATACTAAGTGTGACCTTGACCTTAACCTTAGGAGAGTTAAACTGGCCATCTGTAGATTATCTCTAATATGGTTAACATTTCTGCCAAGTTGTTTCAATCTCCTTCCATCAGGTTCAAAAGATACAGATCGGACATGATATACATATACCAAAATATATATAAAAGATATACATTATGTACCAAATTTATGCCAAACATCCCAAAACCATATATGCATTTTTCAATCCAAATAAATACAAAATGTTTAATGTAAGATGGGGCAAATTATCACTAAAGTAGAAAGAATCATCACTAAAGTAGGGCTAGTTATTATTGGGCATTTCATTAGTGGGGAGAATCGTTAAATCACCCCTGAAATAAAGAATGTTCTTAGTATAATATATACACATTAATTTCATTAAACATAGATCAAAGATTTTTAAACAATCCTTGCCTCTGCTGACTGCAACAACCAATAGATTCAGGTCAGACTGTGATGACTGTTTAAATGGCATATAGTCAAGACCACTTTTTTAGCACTTAAAAAAATACAGTGAAAATAGTGTATGATGTGAGTTCAAAAACAAATCAAATTAATTAAATTCAGATAAAAAAACTAAAAGGCAAAAACTCAGATGGCAGTTTCAGTTATATAATGCGCAAGTCATCAAGGTCATATACATAAAAAAATTAACGAGCCAAAAAAGTTTGATTTCACGATGGTATTAATGTTATTCAGATAGTCACCCCCATTGACAAAAAGTCATTAACTTTTTTTCCAACTCATCCCTCACTCCCTCGCATTAATCGTAAAAATATTTCAGCGCAAATAAAAATCATATATAATTGGTTTAAAGTACATTTAATTCATATAGGTAAATATTGTTCATATAAATATTGTTGTTCATGTGAAAATGAAAAACACAACATTTTTTATAAACTTATGGTACATATTATAAAACAAGAACCGGTTGAACCGGGTGATGCTCCCCGAGAAGGTTCTGGACACAGGAAAGTATAAAAAAAGGGCAAAAACTCCAAAATTAGGCAAAGCGGAGTTATGTTTTTTTGCACTGCACTTCTATTCAATGAGATCTATCTATCTATAAAGTTTCCTGATGATATCACAGTTATGTCCCCGGTAAAAGTCAAAGTGTAAAAATGAACAAAGGGCAATAACTCCAAAATTAGACCAGGCTTTGTTTAGGTTCTTTAAGCATTGCAGTTCTATCCAATTATATCTAGCTACCTACAAAGTTTCATGTTGATATCTCTAATAGTTTTAAAGTAATGTCCGGGACAAAAGTCAAAAAGTAAAAATAAACAAAGGGCAATTTCTTCAAAATGAGGCAAGGCAGAGTAATGATTCTTAAGCACTGCACTTCCACCCAATGAGACCTATCTATCTACAAAGTTTCATGTTGATATCTCTTATAATTTTAGAGTAATGTTCCAGACAAAGTTCAAAGTGTCAAAATGAACAAAGGGCAATAACTCCAAAAGTAGGCAAGACAGTGTTACAGTTCTTGTGCACTGCAAACTTACTCAATGAGATCTATCTACCTACAAAGTTTCATGTTAATACCTCTAATACTTTTAGAGTTATGTCCCGGACAAAGTTCAAAGTGTAAAAAAACAAAGGGAGATAATTCAAAAATTAGACAAGGCAGAGTTACGGTTCTTGTGCACTGCACACCTACTCAATGAGATCTATCTACCTACAAAGTTTCATGTTAATACCTCTTATACTTTTAGAGTTATGTCCCGGACAAAGTTCAAAGTGTAAAATAAACAAAGGGGAATAATTCAAAAATTAGGCAAGGCAGAGTTACGGTTCTTGTGCACTGCACACCTACTCAATGAGATCAATCTACCTACAAAGTTTCATGTTGATACCTCTTATACTTTTAGAGTTATGTCCCGGACAAATTTCAAAAAGTAAAATAAACAAAGGGGGATAATTCACAAATTAGGCAAGGCAGAGTTACGGTTCTTGTGCACTGCACACCTACTCAATGAGATCTATCTACCTACAAAGTTTCATGTTGATACCTCTTATACTTTTAGAGTTATGTCCCGGACAAAGTTCAAAGTGTAAAATAAACAAAGGGGAATAATTCAAAAATTAGGCAAGGCAGAGTTACGGTTCTTGTGCACTGCACACCTACTCAATGAGATCTATCTACCTACAAAGTTTCATGTTGATACCTCTTATACTTTTAGAGTTATGTCCCGGACAAAGATCAAAGTGTAAAATAAACAAAGGGGGATAATTCACAAATTAGGCAAGGCAGAGTAACTGTTCTTGTGCACTGCACACCTACTCAATGAGATCTATCTACCTACAAAGTTTCATGTTGATACCTCTTATACTTTTAGAGTTATGTCCCGGACAAATTTCAAAGTGTAAAATAAACAAAGGGGGGTAATTCAAAAATTAGGCAAGGCAGAGTTACGGTTCTTGTGCACTGCACACCTACTCAGTGAGATCTATCTACCTACAAAGTTTCATGTTGATACCTCTTATACTTTTAGAGTTATGTCCCGGACAAAGTTCAAAGTGTAAAATAAACAAAGGGGGATAATTAAAAAAATAGGCAAGGCAGAGTTACGGTTCTTGTGCACTGCACACCTACTCAATGAGATCTATCTACCTACAAAGTTTCATGTTGATACCTCTTATACTTTTAGAGTTATGTCCCGGACAAAGTTCAAAGTGTAAAATAAACAAAGGGGAATAATTCAAAAATTAGGCAAGGCAGAGTTACGGTTCTTGTGCACTGCACACCTACTCAATGAGATCTATCTACCTACAAAGTTTCATGTTGATACCTCTTATACTTTTAGAGTTATGTCCCGGACAAATTTCAAAGTGTAAAATAAACAAAGGGGGATAATTCAAAAATTAGGCAAGGCAGAGTTACGGTTCTTGTGCACTGCACACCTACTCAATGAGATCTATCTACCTACAAAGTTTCATGTTGATACCTCTTATACTTTTAGAGTTATGTCCCGGACAAAGTTCAAAGTGTAAAATAAACAAAGGGGAATAATTCAAAAATTAGGCAAGGCAGAGTTACGGTTCTTGTGCACTGCACACCTACTCAATGAGATCTATCTACCTACAAAGTTTCATGTTGATACCTCTTATACTTTTAGAGTTATGTCCCGGACAAAGTTCAAAGTGTAAAATAAACAAAGGGGGATAATTCAAAAATTAGGCAAGGCAGAGTTACGGTTCTTGTGCACTGCACACCTACTCAATGAGATCTATCTACCTACAAAGTTTCATGTTGATACCTCTTATACTTTTAGAGTTATGTCCCGGACAAATTTCAAAGTGTAAAATAAACAAAGGGGGTAATTCAAAAATTAGGCAAGGCAGAGTTACGGTTCTTGTGCACTGCACACCTACTCAATGAGATCTATGTACCTACAAAGTTTCATGTTGATACCTCTTATACTTTTAGAGTTATGTCCCGGACAAAGTTCAAAGTGTAAAATAAACAAAGGGGGATAATTAAAAAAATAGGCAAGGCAGAGTTACGGTTCTTGTGCACTGCACACCTACTCAATGAGATCTATCTACCTACAAAGTTTCATGTTGATACCTCTTGTTGTTTCAAAGTTATGTCCCGGACAAGAAAAGGGGACGGACGGACGGACGGACAAGGCGGCGACTATATGCTCCCCCGAAATTTTTTCGGGGAGCATAAAAATAGGATGCTGAATTTAATTTTCCCTAATGTTGATGAATAGTTTTGTTAAAGGAACTCCACTTTGGTCAAAAAGCCTAAAATCATAAAATTTGAATTTCTTGCAAATATTAGCATGAACACTTTAAAACAGAAAGATGGGCAAAAGATAATGAAGAAATATACACAAAAAAAGTTAAAAGTCTTATTTTTGTGCTATTTTAAGACATATTTGAGTGAAAAGCTTTGCATAAGGTCATTTTCAACATTTAGAATAATAATTCTGACAAAACAATAATCTGACATCTTCTACAGTTACATCAAAGGGAATGCAAAAAAATGTCAGAAAATAATTTTAAGTGAAAAGTCAACATCAAAAGAGAAAGATTTTTCCTTGATACAAGTACATACAAGCCCTGCAACTTTACTAAAGTAATTAAAATTTACTAAAGTAATATAATTTACCTTATTTGCATAGTAAATACATAATAGTCATCATTTTTTGTAGAGCATGTACTCCAGTAATGAATTATTCAAATACTGATATCTTCTTGAAACAAAAATAATTTAATTTTCTGTTTCAAGTATATGTTTAAGGATGAGAAGACATTTTGTTTATCTCTCAAAGTTAATTAAATTCAATTCAATTAAGAATGCTCTTAACATACCATGTATTACTTTCCAACCTCACCTGCCATTTTGAGGGTCAATACAAAGATAACATGTGCTAAAGATTAGAGAAAAATATCTCACAATTCACATATTTTTATGTTTATAATAAGCTTATAACAATGATTTTGATATTTGTGCTACAATAATATTTTTCTACACATATGTCACAGAGTTTGACAATTCATCACAATCATAACTATGTTTACTCATTTTGACTTTCATATTAAATAATTATATTGAATAATGACCCTCAAAATGGCTTCCAATTTTGTCAAGGGTCCTAAATTTTGCAACAAGATGGCCATGATGGCACTTAATTGCTCAGAAAAGGATATGGTCTACATGGACAAGATTCAATTACCAGAATATTCCTTTTAAAAAGGATCACTTAAAGATAACTTCTGTGTAGTTTCATTATTACTGGCCAGGTAATTATTAAATAAAGAGATTCTGTGCCAGAAACATGGTGACCACATTAGCTCACCTTGAGCACTACCCAAAGTATTCCAAATTTTGTTTTCATACCTTTGAAAAACATTTGAATAATGACCTTCATTAAAGTTTATGATAACAATAAAGATGACAACAATGAAGTGGCAATTATTTTTCTTCTGAACAGACTGGCTAAAAGACCTTGTGTTCATGAGTTAAATCATAACTAAAACTGATTCTAACAATCCACAACAATAGGATTGACATTGTGATAAAAACTGTTTTTATACCTAATTAAATCTATTTTCTTTAATTTTTTTGTACAAGTCACAAAATGACATCCTTACAGAAAAATAGTAAACGTATAGTAGTATAAAAGATTTTAAACCTGAGGTGGTGGGTCCATGAAATGGAACTGCAGCAGATCCTGGACACCAAGGGATTTCAACAGTAGTACAACATTGGCGAGGTTTGTACGTTGTATTTCAGGGACGGTCATCGTGAGAAGTTCATCTTTATACTGCCTGGCTGTATATAATCTGTAAGCTTGTCTGAAAATGAAAGTCATCAATATGTTGCTGGTTGCTTGGTTTGTTGAGATTTTTCTTTGTTTTGACATCGATTTAAAAAAAAAAAGTTCTGTTCATATAATAGTGGTCAATTCACCTGACTGTCTTTTTTGGATAACTAACCAGTTTGATTGTTTAGGTTTAAAACGTCAAGTTTAACACATTTTTTTGGCCCATCAATCACACTGACTTTCCTGGATAACTAACCAATAATTACCAATTTCTTCACAAGTGAATGACTACTAATCCAACTTGGTTACTAAATGAGCGGTAAGGAACAAATAACCAATGAGAAGTCACATGGCAGGTCAAGGTCAAGTCATCTTAGTTACCAGAGATGATTGGTTGACCTGATGTGACTAACTTTGGAGGGGAGTGCTAACAAGGGTTGTTTTTGTTAAGAGATGCCATTGGAAAGCTGATGCCTTGTATAGTATTGTCATCTCCTTCAACCACCAACAAAGCAAAGAACACATTCCTGGAAGACTCTGCATGAAAAGATGTCCATGATGTGACTTCAACAGTGGACCGGCACGGATGCTGATAAATCTCGGACAAATGGTTACTCCAGCGCAGAGTATAAACAAAACTAAACACACACACAATAAGCGCACAGTCTGTCCCCACTCTATACTGTTGATAGGTGATCATATTTCTTACTTTGATACTATCATATTTTGAATGGACTGTTCCAAATTTAACACAGGGCAAATGCATTACACAATCTAGCAGGTTAAAGGTTATATAGATATCAAGACTTACCCTGGACCTGTTCTTCCTGCCCTCCCTGACCTCTGATTGGCATTTGCCTGAATAACACAAATACAAAATGCATTGGTCAAGGAATTTCAATTATATATTAACTTTTATGTCAAAAGAGGAAATAATCATCAGGTATCACCTTCAAAAAATGACACTGCAAATTCATAACTTGATATGGTTATTACATTGTATTACAATTTTTTGTTTTAATTAGCACAGTAAAATATATATGAACCGCGTCACGACAAAACCAACATAATGGGTTTGCGACCAGCATGGATCCAGACCAGCCTGCGCATCCGCGCAGGATCCATGCTGTTCGCTATCAGTTTCGCTTTTTGTTATAGGGTTTGTAAGCGAACAGCATGGATGCTGACCAGACTGCGCGGATGCGCAGCCTGGTCTGGATCCATGCTGGTCGCAAACCCATTACAATGTATGTTGGTTTTGTCGTGACACGGCTCATATTTGTTTGTTTGTTTGATTGGGATTTACGTCACAGGCGGCAGTATCAGTGTTTGGACACCCCATCCCTTTTTGCCCCTGGACCCCTATTACAACCCTGAAAAAAAATGTTATGGTTATATCTATAACTATAATTTTGATATTGGAAATTTTTTTTTATATAATTTCATCAGTGGTTTTGTATTTGGTACCTTATAGTAAGCCTTAGAGTGATGAATAATATTTTTTCAGGATTGTAGTAGGGGTCCAGGGGCAGATAAGGGTGGGGAGTCCAAACACTGGTACTGCCATCTGTAATTTACGACATACCAAAACAGTATAGGTCTTTAGGCAACATTACAGCTTTACTGGTGGAGGAAGACCTCAGGTGCCCTTCCGTGCTATATTTCAGACACAAACGTGCACCTTGTAAAAAGACTGACATTCCGTAAGCTAGCTGGATAGCTTCCTCACATGAAAGAATCCAAAGTCCCTGTAGGGATTCAAACCCACAATGATTATGAGACACCAAAAAAAACCAACTTTATGTGGATCTGATGTATTGAAATACAGCACTGTACTGTATTACTTTAATTGTATAAAGATTGATTATATCAACAGATATAACAAACAACATTTTGGAACTCTATCTTGACTTTGTAGCCATAGCGGTAAAATAGAAGTATAATTTACCAATGCACATGATTTTTATGTTAATGCCATAAATTTGGATTTTCCTTATATAATTTATATAATGACTAGGTTACAGAACGAAAGCAATGTTTGCAAGATTTGATAATCATATTCTCAAATATGATGGGAAGCAAATGGTCAAATTCTTCAAGTTTTTTGCTGCAGATTAGAATTACAAATAGCCAAACAATGTTAACATTCCTTACCATCACATTTGCATAATTTCATTACAATGGAAATGTAACATGATTTTGAGTGCTTTATGGTACATTATTGCAGGTTATGTTGTTTATATGTTTGTTATTAATCACTAACGTCTACAGTACATTGTATATTGTACAGGAAGAGCATGCAAAAAAAACAACCCCCAATAACACCAAATCAGGTGGGTCTCATTTCAACAATGTGACATAATCAATTCTTTTTTATTCTTCCTACTTGCAGAATTACGAAATATTATTTTGAAATACTGTATACAAATATTTTCAAAAATTTAAAGGTAAAAGGGTCTCTGATATTTGGTTAAGCACCTATACTCTACTCATTTGAAAGCAAATAAACGTCACATCTTTGTATTAATCAGTATAATCAAATTTTCAATTAATGGTGAGTGGAAAACAGCAACAAGTTACATAGCTTTTATATAAAAGCTACGATACTTCAAATTGTGAAAAATCACTAAAATGTAAAACATTCTCAGATCACGTAACATCAATTTTTTATGTACTTTTATCCAAAAAAATCCAACCAATGCTTCAAAGAATATGACATCAAACGCTGCATTTTTTAATGGTTTTATGACATCAAACCTGCCTAATCTTTTTTTTCAAAATTGTTATTTAACTGACTTAACCTAAATATTTTGAATATGATTAAAAGGTTTTTCATTCATTCATGAAGGCCATACCATCTAAGCACCAAATATGAAATTATTTTTCATACAAGAGGGCCATAATGGCCCTGGGGTCGCTCACCTGAACATAGGCCCTCAGGGCCAGGCCAGTTTAAACCAAAGGGCTTTTATTTGAACAAACTTGGAAGACACCCATTAGAAGATATTTCATGATGTTAAGTTTTTACTATACACAAATAATGAATAACAATGACTTTTGCCCCCCCCCTCTCCCTGGCAGGGCCAATTTTGACCCAAGGGCTTTTATTTGAACAAACTTGGTAAACATCCATTAGAACATGTTTCATGCTAAATATCTTAGCTCTAGCTCTTTTGGTTCTTTAATAGAAGATTTTTAACTTTTTACTCTATGTATATAAGGAAAATCAATGACCCCTGGGACAGGGCCAATTTTGACCCCAGGGCTTTTATTTAAACAAATTTGGTAGACATCCATTAGAACATGTTTCATGCTAAATATCTTAGCTCTAGCTCTTTGGGTTCTTTAAAAGAATTTTTTTAAAGTTTTTACTATATGCATATAGGGAAAATCAATGACCCCGGGGCGGGGCAATTTTGTCCCCAGGGCTTTTATTTGAACAAACTTGGTAGACACTGATAAGAAGATGTTTCATGCTTAATATCTTAGCTCTAGCTCTTTGGGTTCTTTAAAGAGAGATTTTCTAAAGTTTTTACTATATGCATATAGGGAAAATCATTGACCCCCTGGGGCTGGGCCAATTTTGACCCCAGGGCTTTTATTTGAACAAACTTGGTAGACATCCATTAGAACATGTTTTACGCCAAATATCTAAGCTTAGCTCTTTGGGTTTTTTAGAAGAAGATTTTTTTAAGTTTTTACTATATGCATATAGGGAAAATCAATGACCCACTGGGGCGGGTCCAATTTTGACCCCAGGGCTTTTATTTGAACAATCTTGGTAGACACTCATTAGAAGATGTTTCATGCTTTATATCTTAGGTCTAGCTCTTTGGGTTCTTTAAAAGAAGATATTTTTAAGTTTTTACTATATGCATATAGGGAAAATCAATGACCCCCTGGGGCGGGGCCAATTTTGACCCCAGGGCTTATATTTGAACAAACTTGGTAGACATCCATTAGAACATGTTTAATGCCAAATATCTAAGCTCAAGCTCTTTGGTTTTTTAGAAGAAGATTTTTTTAAGTTTTTACTATATGCATATAAGGAAAATCAATGATCCCCTGGGCGGGGGCCAATTTTGACCCCAGGGCTTTTATTTGAACAAAACTTGGTAGACACTCATTAGAAGATGTTTCATGCTTAATATCTTAGGTCTAGCTCTTTGGAGTTCTTTAAAAGAAGATTTTTTAATTTTTACTATATGCATGTAGGGAAAATCAATGACCCCCTGGGCGGGGCCAATTTTGACCCCAGGGCTTTTTTATTTGAACAATCTTTGGTAGACACTCACTAGAAGATGTTTCATACCAAATATCTAAGCTCTAGCTCTTTGGGTTTTCTAGAAGAAGATGTTTTAAGTTTTTTCTTTTGGTTGCCATGGCAACCAGAGTTCTGCATGGAATGGAATTCTTTGAACAACTTTGTGAAGGCTTCACACACAGAACATCCCTATTAAGTTTCATTATGATCTGCCTTATGGTTTCAGAGGAGATGTCGTTTGAAAAGTGTGAACGGACAACGGATGACGTACGACGGACGACGGACACCGGACGAAGAGTGATCCTAATAGCTCACCTTGAGCATATGCTCAGGTGAGCTAAAAAGAAGCAAAAAATGTAAACAAAGTAATATTTTGATTTCCATACAAAAGTTTAACATTGCAATTTTTTTATGAAGTTAAGGGTAATAACTCTTCAAATACAGAATAAATCCACAAACAAAGCCAAGGTGCATAACTACACATGCTGACCAACATTAATGTAAAGTTTCATGACTCAAGGTCAAATACTTTTTAAAAAAACAAAAAAAAAAGTATAAAAAAAAATTAAAAAATTTTGCACTTTTATGCCACCATACATTTGTATATATATTCACATTTGACAAAATATTTAAAAATGTTTTCGGGAGTTTTCATGTAGACATATAGGCAAAATTAAAACTTTCAATAGAATTTCTTCAAACTTGGCATGTTGTTAGAAACATTTTAGCATATAAAACAAATTGGGGTCACTGTTCTTGTTTTTGAGTTATCTGCCCTTGAATTGGACTTTTTTGTTTAATTCAAGGGCAGATAATTTACAATGAGGGGAATTAATACTTTTTTTTTATCTTATTTTCATAAAGCTTACCTTCATTTTAGTTGATATGCAAAATTTCAAGAACAATTTTAGAGTGGGTAGTTTTTATTTTTAGAGTGGGTAGTTTTTATTTTTAGAGTGGGTAATTTTTATTTCCACTTCTCCTTTAAACCTGTGCAATTTTTCTTTAAAAAAAGCCTATTGTACCTTTAATTTCATTGAAAAAAATTAATGGAAGCGATGTATGGAATTGCATATTATTATGTATTGTACTCAACAATAAAAAGAAAAACAAAATCCAGAATTAAAAACAAGAATTTGTGAAGTTATCTGCCCTTTAAATGACCTCGAATTAGTAGAAGAGTCTGATTCAGGGGCAGAGAACTCAAAAACAAGAACGGTTACCCCAATTTTTTTTCGCTTAAAATGTTTCTGTTATCATATTCTAACAACAGTTAAAATTCTATTGAACAGTTTTAATTTTGCCTATATGTCCATATGAAATCTCCCAAAACGTCCTTAATAAATTGTCATACAAATTTGAAAATAAATACAAATATATACAAAATTTAAAAAAATTAAAGGTACATAATGCCTCAGAAATTACTAAGTTTTTTTTTCCATATTTTTACCATTTAATATGAGTTTAATAACAATTAAATAATTGTTTTAGAGGCTATTAGATGCTCATCACCTGAAGATAATAGGGCTTAATGTGAAATTATTTGTCATAAAGTAGCATAATGTAAACAAAGTAGTATTTTGAATTCCATTCA